TGTGATATCATGACATTCATTCTGATACCCTAGACAACTGCTAAGTGACCAATAGGTGGGAATGGATTTGGACCCTCCTGTTCTCCCAAATAAATCCTCTGTGCCCATTTTATTGTTTAAACCTTCAGTTGCTCTAAAAAAGTGGTTCTTACCCCATGTTAACTGTACATCAAGAGTTTTTAAGGAGCTTTGAGAAGATAGCAATACCCGCCCCCACTCTCTCCTCTCCTCCTTAGATGGGGCCTGGGGAGTTGTGTGCTTTTTGGTTTTGTTTTTAACTTTTTAGTTTGAAATATTTTCAAACCTAGGGGGAAAATTCCAGAAAAAGAATAGTACAAAGTACATCCATATACCCTTTAGCTAGATTCACCTAGTCTTAACATTTTGCCCCATTTATCACTTGCTCTCTTTCTAGATTTTATTTTCTCTGTTTGATTTAAAAAATAAAATGCTTTGAGAGTAAGACATCATACTAACTTCCTTAAAAGTAAGACATATTTCGATGTGGATATTTCCTTGAACAGCCACAGTGTCATGTCAACTCCAGTCAACTTAACATTGATTGATACAAATACTTTTATTTTCTATATCTTCATATTCCAATTTGTCAATTGACCCAACCTTCTCCTTGTAGCATTTTTTCCCTTCAGTATACTCTCCAGTTTAAGATCAGGCATTGTGTTTCATTGTTGTCTCACTGGTGTGTTTTTCAAAGCTCTCTAGGTGGATCCTGGTCTTTGGGCCACTGTGCAAATTATTTACTATGCTAACATATATTGAGTGTCTACTAGATGCAAATAATTGTGAATAAATCAAGGAGTTTTGTATTTTAAGGGATCCACTTTATAAAAATCAACTTATAATATCAGAGGGATAAGTACCATGAAAGAAATATTAACTAAATCTGCGGGGGGAAACTTTAATCAAATTTAACAAGCTTACTGTGGGTCTACTGTTTGTCAGGCATTATAAACACTTTTGCAGAAATAGCTAAATATGAAAAAACAAACCTAAATGATAACAATGAATACATGATTAGTTATAAAAGTGAAGATTTTCAAAAGTTTCTCTTGGAGGAAGTGAGACTTGGAAGACAATTAGGATTCAACTTTTAGAGATGAAGACATTTTAGGAGAGGAACTATTAAGAGGAAAAATAGAGAGAGAAGGGAGTGTACAATGAAGTAAGGAAAGGACTGTACTTCTCTGTGATTTGAGAACTGGGTGCATGGGATTGCACTAGAATTTCCTGGGAAAGTAGGCTAGAAAATGTAAGATGGTACACCATCTTGGAAAATGGTTTGGCAGTTTCTTCAAAAGTAAAACATAAACTTACCATATAACCCAACAATTCCATTCCTAGGTATCTATTTAACTAAGAGTAAGGAAAATCTGTGTCCACACAAAGACTTGCACAGGAAAGTAATGGTTACAGCAGCATTATTCACAGCAGCTCCAAAGTGGAAACAACCCAAATGTCTATCACCTGGTGAATGGATAATCAGAATGTGGTATATCCATACAATGGGATACTACTGAGCAACAAAAAGGAATGAATGCATGATATATGCGACGACATGGATGAATCTCAAAAACATTATGCTAAGATTTAGCAACTAAGTGAAAAAAGCCAGATGAAATAGCACATATTGTATCATTTCATCGATGTAAAATGTCCAGAAAAGACAAATCTATAGCGACAGAAAGTACATTAATTGTTGCCCGGTTTGGGATGAGAATGGGGACTGCCTACAAATGAGTACAAAGGATGGCTTTCTTTGGGGTAACAGAAATGTCCTAAAACTTGATTATGGTTATAGTGCAACAACTCTGTAAATTTACTAAATAATGTTGAATTGTACACCTAAACAGATGAACTTTATGAGATATAAATTATACATTAAAAAGCTGTAAAAATTAAGAAGTTATCAAGACCAGACAGAAAGGAAATAAGAACGGCAACCTTAGAAATGAAAAAATACAGTTACTTAAATTCTAAAACTTCATAAATGGGAAAAACTCTAAACTGGACAAATTATTTAGAGGATTGACAAATAAGAAGACAGGATTAAGTAAGGATGCAACACAGAGACAAAAAATAATTTTGAATAACATTTCAAGATATGTATGGAGAGGCTTCCTCACTCACCTAAGGGCAGTTCCAGAAAAGAGAATGAGGCAATGGCAGAGAAACAATATTTAAAAAGAAAATCATTGGTAATTGTCCAGAATTAAAGAGAGCAGATGATATCACAATAAAAAGTACACTAACATATAGAGAGTTCTAACATCTAGTGAAACTGCTGAACATCAAAATAAACAAACACAAATCTTAAATGCTATTGGAAGAAAAGGGTTATCTACAAAGGAATGAATATTAGATTAGTAATAGAATTTTTACCAGCAACAATTAGTACCAGAAGACAATGGAGCACTATCGTCATTGTGCTATGGAAAAATAACCGTTCACTAGAATTTTATACCCAGATAAATGATCATCCAACAGTGAGGGAAAAAGAAAACATTTTCAAATATACAAAGGATTCCCTCCCCTACAGAGATCCCTACAGAAAGAACTATTAAAGAATGAACTTCAGCCAGAAGAAAAGTGAACCCAAAGGGAAGGCTTTGAATTCAAGAAGAAAAATAGTGAGTAGAAGAATTGGTGAAATGTCAGTAAATTCAATGAACTCTTGGCTATAAAAACAACTTTTTAATTAAAAAAGTAAAAATCTCCGGACGACGATGATATGAAGGGAAAAAGGACGGTTGTTCAGTGGATAAGGTATGCAAAGCTCTTTTGTAAAAATAAAGAATTACATGACAACTTTATTTTAAAAATTATATTTAAGTATATATGTTGAAAAGAAAAGACAGTTCTGAGAAGAACAGAAATAAAGCCTAGAGCCCTTAAACCAGCAGTGGAAAATGAGGGAATATAGATCATTTTACTAATCCAATAGAAGGCAAGGATGGAGAAAAAGGAAGAATGAAAAAAGATGCTAAGTGAAAAACACAAAATACGTTGTAAGAATAAGTCTGAATATATTGGTAATCACAATAAATGCGCATAGATTAATTTCACCTATAGAGATACAACTAATATAAAACTTATACATGATTCAATATAAACAGAAAAACATACAAACAGTAGCCAAAAGAAAGGTGGCATATCAATATCAATATCAAAAATGTCTAATTTAAACAATTAGCATGAAAAATGGTAAAAAGAGGCACCACCTAACAAGAATCAACTGTGATTTCGAATGTAGAATATACTCTGAGAAATACTGCCTTCTATGCGCTAGAGATCCTATTTGCTTTCTTCACTGCTCTATCTTCAGTGCTTGGCACACAATAGGTGTGCCATAAATATTGAGTGAAATGATTACCATACTACATCGAGATGATCTGTTTATGTGTTTGTCAAAACCACAGGGGCAGGGGCCCTGTCTCACTTAGTTTTATGCCATCAATACTTAGCACAGTGCCTCGCACATAGTAGGCACTCCATAAAATCACACTGAATTGAAAGTTCATCTGTTCCATAAAATCTCTCCTAACTGATTTTACCCATAGCTTATCCTTTGTTGCTACCTCTATAGCACTCATCATCTGAAATATTCATTTCAGCAACTGAGTATATAGTAGTATATTTTAGTTCTTTCTCAAACCTGGTTTCTCCAAAACTATTTTAGATACTTTGAAGTTAGAGAAGATGCCTTATACTGTGTCTAGTGCCTTGAATCAGTACTTTTTGGGGTCAATGTCACTAGATGAATGTAGATTAGATCAGTGGTGCCAGCAGCACATGCCAACACCACCAAGGACTAGTCCCATTCTCTTTTTCCATTTGACTAAAGAGATCACAGGCTCATGGGCCAAGAATGTGGAGAAGTTAACAGGAGGAGGTGGCAGAAGGTAGCTAATGTCCAATTCCAAGTCCCTGTGCTCTCTTCCTTCTGGCAAAATAGGGAGAAAAATGCCTGTGATCCTACAAAAATAGTGGATGTGGGGAAGTGGGAGGGAGATAGTCAGGGAAGAGATCACTACTGGACAGGACGTGGACCTGACCTTCCACTAGCAGGCATTGTACCAGTTTATTAGATCAAAAGGAAACCCCAAGGGATACAACTAAATTCAAGCACTAGGAACCTTATATAGAAGACAGAGAGGGATGTTGTTTTCCATCTACACACAAAGAACACGAGGGGAAGCTACTACAAGGAGCTCCCAACTGGGAAGCCACAGAGGGTTAATAAAGGGCAGAATTACAGTATCTTCTCGCTGGTCTTCATAAGAAAGACACCACAGTCCGTGGAGGTTCAGTCAGGGCCCTGAGATGAGGTGAGGAGAAGGGCTGGCTGACCTCCCAAGATCCTCTGTTATCCCGTAATTAAATGGTGAATCGTGCACTTCTGCATTTACGCTCCCACACACATCTGCACCCCGTTCGATAGTAAGTCCCTTGGCTGACTTCCAGGTTTAGTACGGAGCCACGCAAGATGCTGGCACTCAACAAATGACTCAAATATTTGTTGAATGAAGGAATAAATAAATCGAGTGTTCAAATGGAGCGCACATGACCTCCCCGACTGTAAAGTACGGCGATTAATGAAATCACAATATTCTAGGCACGATCTCTAGAGCAGAGGAAACACACACACACACACGTACTCGCACACATACGCACGCACGCACACACACGCACGCATACACCAGCTCTGGTTCCACTCGATTCAAATTTCCACCTTGGGAGCACAGACCACCTGCTCCGCACGCAGGCTGTAGGAGTTTCCTTGGCAAGGATCCTCTCTCAGCTGCTTTAGGATGGTGCCTCCAGAAGGTCAAGTCACCAAGATTTAGGACAGCTTCCCTTCCGGGCTGACCTCCGAGACAAAGTTTCAGCCCTGATTCGGCCTGAGCCTCCCCTGGGCGCGCCTGTACGCCCTCCCCAGGGCGCGGGGCGCGGGGCGCGCAGCCCGCGGCGCCTCCCCTTACCTTAGTGAGCTGGGCGATCTTCTTGCACATTTTCACGTGCATCTCGGAGTCGCAATCCATTCTCCAGCTGGCGCCACCGTGGGCATCCGCGTGGGAGCCCTGGCAAGTCCCAGGTGCATGAATTTTGCTGTTGAGGGCAGAAGCCATCGCTAAACCGCGTCCAGCGCTCAAGGGCTCCCGCTGGTGTCCTCGCTGCCCACCGTGTGCACGTGCGTGCGCGCGCGGACGTGTGAGCGTGCGGGCTTCCTCGGGAGAGGCGGCACTGCAGTCCCGCCGCCCGCACCGCCGCGTGCTCCCTGCTTCCCCGGGTGGCCGCCTCCCCGCCGCCCGCGCGCCCACTCTGCCTCCTCCAGCGCTCTTGCCGGCTGGCTGGCTCTGCGGGCACCCGCGTCTGCGGCGAGGCGCCGGGGACCCGCACGTGCCTGTCGCGATCTGCGCGCCACTCCCGGGCCCGTGCGGGTTTCGCCTGCAGCGGTAGAGCTTACGGTACGCGGGGCCACTCACTGGCTGTAGAGAGGTTTGCGCTGGCCGGGCGCGGCGCTCTCGGACACGTGGGTGGCGCCTGGCTCCAGACTCAGCGGCGACCGACCCAGCCCTTGGTGGGCATCCCGGGCTAAGGAGGAAGAGCAGGCTTCGGCCTCAGGCGGCCGGAGCGCACTGTCTGAAGAGGGGACCCTGGCGATGCGCTGCGGGGCTGAACTGGGTGGCGAGGAACCCGGCACCTTCACCACCTTATTCAACCTGCGGCTCGGGAGCCTCGGAGCTCCGGGCTGAGGGCGGAGGTAGGGGCGGGATGCCGGGAGGTGAGAGCAGGTCGCGGGGATGCGAGGAGGTGCAGGGGGGCTGGGATGCACAGTGTGGGCCCCCGCACGGGCTGCAAACGAGAGTCCCCTCCCCCCATTTTGGGGAGGAGCCCAGACGTTGCGGGAGGATTGCCAGAGATCACCAAACAAAGGGAAGAAGCCAAAGCGGCGGCCGAGAAGCTGGTGTCTGAAACCTGGGATGAGAACGCATAGTGCGTGAAGCGGTAGTAAAGCAGAGCAAGTCATCAGAAAGGTAGAGAGGATGGTGGCAGGTGTGAGAAGAAGGAGGCAGAGGAACGGAGGAGTAACTGAGTCACATGGAGCTGAAAGTCTAAGTAAACCAAGCCAGTGAAAGTGAAGTGACTCGGCCACACCCGTGCAACCGGATTAGCAGCTGGTGTCCCTCCGTTTGTTTGATAAGTGGAGAGGTTAGCGGGCCAGATTTCTTTGTGGCTTGCTTTCTTTGGTTTCAAACAGTGGGCTTTTGGAAAAGTGACAGCACCCCATTTAGATTTTCGGAAAGTGTGAATAATAGAGTCATCATAATAAGCAATTAGCCTGGTTAATATATTTCATTTTACAAATTGCCATATATCAAGAGTTTTAATAATCATAAAGCAAGCCAGTTTCAAAGGCTCTCAGAAACCACAACCCCATCCCTCCACACCTCCACACTGCAGGTAATAATAATCTGCAGGTAATAATAACCACTTTTATAGATGAAGAAATAGATACAAAAAAATTGTACCAACTCAGGCAATTATAAGTAGCAAACTTAGGTCTGGAACTGAGATATTCCTATTCTAAATTCCTTATTTTTGCCCCAGTACATTACACTACATACGAATGACCAAACAGAGTTTCCGGTTCCTAGTTTATGTTTAAGGTTCCCTCTCTAGAACTCACCCCCGCACCCCAGCCCTAATTTGTTTAGAAAACAGAATGCCTGAATCAGAATAACTACCAGGAGGTTGATGTAGATTCTTGGTCCTATCCAGACTTTCTGAGTCAAAACTCTCTGGAGTCGAGAACTAGGAATCCGTATTTTACACAAGCTCTCTACTTAAATTCCAAATCACGCATTTCAAATATATTCTACAGGGTGTTAATACATACTAAATTTTACAGGAATTCAACCACTGTGTAAACTAGAGGTAAATAAGCCTTTTTGGTCTAGAACTTTACCAAAAGCTGTTTGCCATTTTGGAAAATCGCATTATCGATGGCCATGTGGCTCATGGTATTTGGTTGCCAGTCCAACATGCTTGTATTACAACTGCTGCCTTGGTGGTGAGTCTACCTGTGTCTGCAAGCATCTGAGAACTCCATCGTCATAAAGTTAACCACACCAGAGCATCTCTATATTGAAATACATATGATTTAATTATTCTTTCCTTTTATTTCTATTACTGTCAAGAAATTATACTGATTTTAAAAATGTGTGTAATAATTTAAAAATTATCTACAAATTTCAAAATAGCAACATAAATATTATTAAAAAGGTGATGTTGGGTGAATAGAATTGAGAACCACTGCTCTAGATGATCATATGTACATTAAAGTTTAGGAATACTGCAGTCTAATTTCAAGTCTTAGTTACTTAAACACAATCTTATTAGGTCCAGGGACCAAAATATTTTCCAGTAGGCCATGTTATACTTTCAACTTTATAATGCAAGATAGTAGAAAACCAGATTCCCTTACCAGGCTTTGCTGGACCACAGCTACTGTAATTTTGGTGCTGTAGACCGATCAGTCTTGGAAAGGGTCCTCTGCAGATCCTGGGACTTTCTAGCACTGTGATTAGTAGGTCCTTCCACACTATCAGGAATGAAATGGAGGGCAGAAGAGGATTCAGCACTCTCTCAAATATAGGGGTGGCAGAGCACTTATTAGCACACTAATATGGTCTTGGCAATGTGCTGTGCCCTCTGCACATGTCCTTACCTTCAGCGAGGTACTTATTATCCTCATTCTACAGACTAGAAAATTGAAGCTCAGGGAGGCTAACAAACCAATTTTATACAGCTAGTAAATGGATCTGAGTCTGTATAAGTTCAAAGGCTGTTTTTCTCAGAGCACAATGCTGGCAATGGAAAACTTTTTAAAATTATCATTGTTTTTTCTTTAGATTATAAAACTGTAAGCTTCTGGTAGTACCCCCCAGCTCACCTGTAATAATACAGAAAAATGAAAAGCAAAAATCACCCCAAATCCCACAAAGAAAATTACTGTTAATATTTTGAGATCCTTCTAGACATCTATCTGTACACACCTAGAAAATGGTATGTACATATATGTATTTTTAAAACATAAATGGGATGCTGTAAATGTTTTTGAACCCTATCCACTCAATATAAAATGGACATATTTTTTCTTTTGCCAATAAAGGTCCATATTCTCATTTTTGACAGCCAGTAATTCCATTATTTACAATAACTTATTTGTCCTATCCCCTACTGAACAATTTTTTATATTTTAAGCAAAATGTTTTGCATATGTTTACAATGTATGTTTGCTATGAGAAGAATAAATTCTGTTTTAAAAGACAAAAAAAACCCCAAAAAGATATGAAACTTAAATGAGATAGAATTCTTAATGTGTATTAAGTACAGGTAGTATACTATAAGACAAGATAGAATGGAATTTATATAAAAAGAATGGAACGAACAAGTGTCACTAACAGAAAAAGATGGAAAGTCCAAATTGTAAGGTAAAAACAATGCCACCTTCAAGCCGACAGCTACATCATCCCTAAAATTGCCATTCATTGTTGACACCCGTTCTGGCCCCAAGTATGTTCTGCCCCAGAAACACAATTAGAAAAACATGGCTCTCTGCAGGACATCAAACAGGCATACTTGCCCCCTGCACATTTCCGACGGAGCAAGCATGTACTGACTCCAGGCATCCCCCATCAGCTCAGCCCTTTTCAATTTTAGCTGTAGTTCTCATAACCACACTATCAGAAGTGAAGGCTGGTACAGCAGACAGGACATAACAATACTGCGTAATACAGGGTTCAGGTGATGTGGTCCTCTCATTTCCCTGGTGCCTCATCCTAAATGTCTTAACCTTCACTGTACTTTGCAATTGACTTCTATTTTAAAGTGATTTAATAAACCAAGTAGTTCCAGCATCTTAATTTGAGATGTAAAGGATCCTGGCTATGACATCTAGGGTAGCCTGCCTGATAAGAGTATATTTGGAGGCTACCATTGCATCAAGATAACTTCTAGACGACATCATACACGGATCTTTGCATGGATGTGCAAGTAGTTCCATAGGAATAAATCCTAGAACAAACTAGTTTCATAGAGTAAGCAAATTTTAAGTGTTGATATATTTGCTATACTGTTCTTCAGAAGTTATTTCAATTTACACTCTAATAGTGAAAAAAAAATGTATATTTTCCTGTATTTTGCCCAAACTAGCCAGTATTGATCTTCAAATATCTTTAAATAGGTGAAGAGTGTCTCCTGCTAAACCACTTGTTTATTAGTAGGGCTGCTGGAACACCTTTCCACAAGTCGATCAGTTGTTCGAATTACACCTTTTGTGCATTGCCTACCTTTCTTCCTTATGTTGAAATAACTTTCTAGGCCCAAGATGCACCTGTTCCTGCCCAAGGTGCCAGATCAGCAAACAGAAACTTAGATAACTTTGTGTCCCTGTGAATGCTCCGCTTGACCAGAAATGCAGTACATCCAGTCAGCTAGTCCTCAAATGCAGAGCCAGCTTTGGCCATATACTTATCTCCTTGTTCCTTTTCACCTCAAACAAGTTTGACTACATGGACCCAGCCAATCAGATATTTTCTATTTTTCTATTCCTTGTTGTTTGTCCTATAAAAGCTTCCTGTCTTCGGCCCCATTTTACGGTTCTCTTTGGAGATCGGACCTTTCATGAAGGGTTAAATAAAGTTTGTATCACCTAAATTGTCTTCTTTAATCATTTTTAACACTTATTACCAGACTTTTCTTTGTCGGGGCTTTTAGCACTTTGCCTATAATATACATTGCAAACATTTCCCCCATTTAGTCATTTGTTTCAGCTTTATGTTCTATAAATATTTTGAATTTTTATTCAAAATCTTTGTACTGATATTTTTCTCTTACATTTTCTGGCATTATGCTAAGAAAGGCCTTTCCCATCCAAGATTGGGTTCTCCTAATATTTTTATGGTCCCATTTAAAAAAAAAAAGTTTACATGTTTTATCTAGTTGTGATTTATGTTGATACATGGAGTGAGGCCAGAATTCAGACTTATGTTTTCCCAGATGGCTAAGCAGTTGTCCCAACAGATACTGAATAATTCATCTTTACCACACTGATAGTCTAATTGCTGCCTTAGGTGATTTCTTTAGAAATTTACTAAGTAATCTTTTAGGCTTTGCTTAGTGATTTTTCTTCTAACATACTTGCAATTATTACTGCTATCACACTTCTCCTACTCATTTAAAAACAAGATCACATTCTTGAGTACGTCCCTTAACCCTTTTACCTAGAGGGCTATTTTCCCTACTCTGCCTTACTTAGTCCTACTCATCTTTGCATGTCCCTAAAATACACTCTCATAGCTTTGCATTTCTGTGAAGCACATATATCATTTATTTCATTTTTTGAAAGCTACAGCTTTCTGTGAAACATCCCCCTTTTTTTGAGTGAACAATTTCAAGAAATGAACACACAGCTTAGACTGGCACTATGCTTTTATTGTGATCCTAACACACACTAACTAGTAGTACCAGGGTTTCACTAGAGGTGGCCTGGTAGTAGGTCTTCCATCTCATCCCCACGGGAAGAAAGAAAGAAAGAAAGAAAAAAGTCACAAAATAGCAACATTTCCCAAGATTACAGTATATCAACATAATACCATGGAATGGGACATTTTGGAATAAAATGTTTTGTGGCAATTATAGCCAGATTATAGCAACCTTAATATGGTCACCATGAACTCCACGGTTGTTCTGGAAACAGTTCGTGGGCAATGCATGTCTGGGAACTACAGCACTGATAGTTGCTTTTTATTTATCTTACTACTCAAAATTGTTAACGGTTAACAAAGGTGTGAAACACAGGGATAAGAGTCGAGTATATGGGCTAAGAGCAGGCAAGGACACAAGTAGGCTTTCCTGTACCTGACACATCTAACAACCGATTTACAAAGTACATTAGACTTCACCTTAGGGTAAACAGGCAGGGAATGAATCTGACAGCTCAATACTGTTGCCTTTCTGGTCTTTTCCTAGAGTTCAAGGGTAATTAAACAATAGAACTCTCTAACGCTCAAAAAAGGAGTGGAACTGAAGCTTTTTAATTCCCCTTATTATAAGAAGTAGAGTGCTCTGTACCCAATGGACACTCAAAAGTTTTTAACTAAATTAAGTATTGGTAAAATGAATGACCTATGACTGAATATCTCAACATAGCCATTTCTCAATTTCTCTTTCTCTTGCTTTTATTGTCCAGAATATTGACATGGAGCTAGAACTTTTCAAATTTTGGTAAACAGACAAATTATCAGGAGCTTGTAAAAAATGAATATTTATGACTCCCCATATCGGAAATTTTGACCTAGTAGGTTTGGGTAAGACATTTTAAACAATCACTTAAGTGATGCTTTGAGGATGGTACCACACCCCACATTGAGGACTGCTTTAATGGTGCAAATGAGCCTTGTCATTTCCCTCTACATCTTTTTGCTTTATGACCTACCCTATGACACAGCAATTTGACCCAAGAGGAATGAGTGCGCATACCCACAAAAACCACAGGTACGAGAATATTTATTGCAGCTTTATGTGTAATAGCCCCGAATTGAAAAAAAATGCAAATGCCATCAACAGGTGAATAGATAAATGAATTATGGCATATTCATACAACAGGATAGCCTACAATAAAAAGATGAACCACTGATAACACCAAAACATCAGGATGAATCACAGTTATTATGTTGATGAAATAAGCCAAGCATAAAACAGTATATACTGTATGATTCCATTTGCATGAAGTTGAGAACAAGTAAAACCAATTGATCTTTAGAAGAGTAGTTATTTCTGGGGGAAGTATAAACTGGGAAAGGGTGCTGGGCAATCAGAAACCTTTTGTACTTTGATATGTGTATACATACGTGAAAAATCATCAACCACACTTATGATTGGCATATTTTATGTATTTCATTGTAGGTATGTTATCCCTTACTTGAAAAAAAAAAGGCAGATGAACAAATTGGTCTGGCATGGTTTACTCAATAGATTTGATGACAAAGACAAAAACATCACCACATATAATCATTTGCAATTGTCAATTTATTCTGAGATTATATGTTAATATAAATAAAGTATAGAAAAAACCTCAACCATAACTCACA